TTTAGACTATGGCTCATGTGAGGAAAAGCTTCCAAGTATGGCCCACATCCTCGCTTTGGTTGATGGCTGTGGCTAGGGGCCTACGGTAGGTGGAATGGGCCTGCTGCATCCACACATTGTTGAGGTGCTGTTGCCAAGTTTCGCTGGCGTGGCCAGGTGGTGTCTCCCAGCTGCGTCGCTTAGCCAGCGTAGACTGAAGGGTTTCCTCCGGCCATATTTGGGTGAGTTGCGCCATCAATGGCTTGTGGTCGAAGATTCTGGTGGTAGGAGTTGTAGCTTCGGAAACCAGATCGTCGACGGCGTTGTCTCCTCGCCACCTCATAGGTTGGCCTGCAAGGAAACCAGGGATTCGTTGCCCACGGAACGCTTCAGCTGCTGCGAAAAGGTTGCCTGTGTGATTATCGCTCTAGTCATCTACCCGCATTACTGGTCTGTTGCCTGCTGTGGCACGATGGGCTGCCAACACGTCGTTGGCCCGCGCAGCAGCAAATTGGCTGAGCCCACTCCTCGCAGGGCAGTATGTGTTGATGAGACGCCAATTTACCACGTGAATGAAGAGACGTGGGTCATCATCGTCGGAGAGTTGTTGTAGCTCCGTGCTGCTGATGTCAGAATGGACAGTTGTGAGAAATCCTCCGATGGGTCGCTTGGCTTTACCTGGGCCGCACGTAATGCTGTTGCCAGGCGCCCAATATGTGCTCTAGCCATTCTTGACAAGGTGAGTTTGGAATGCTCTGTATTCGTTAGTTGTGAGCGATGACGATGCCTCTTGAATGCAAAGTATGTCTGGGGGTCTGCTTTGTCCAAACATGGCTCCCTCGAGGATTTGTTTGGAAGCGCGCAAAGTGCCAGGGGCTCCGCCAGTGCTGATGCTAACAGCCGTCATGGTGTTGTGTTGCCGGAACGGCTATGTAGACGAGGTATGGTGGAAGTGGCTGGGCCTGGGCTCGGGCTCGATTCCTTCCTAACTAGGCAAAGGAATTTGCTGTCGGCCTCCGCTTTGCGGGTAGTTATTGCACCCGTAGGTGAGCTCCTGAACAACTTGGGGAACATCCCGGAGCCTTTCCATTTGGTTTGGCTTCGCACGCTGGCCCTGGCATTTCTTGCGCCAAGCGGCTCCGAACTTGGACATTCTGCAGCATTTAGCGCAGATGGAACAGGGTCCCTGCCGGAAATGTTGGCATTTTGCACGCTGGATTGGCTGGGGCGTCCTGCAAGCCAAATGTCGGCACCATGATCTCGACAAGGTTGCGGCCTAAGCATGGAGGTCCCTTTTTGTCTTGTTGATTTGCTTGAGTTTGCTACTGAGGGATCGCTTGTGCTGCTTTATGCGCGAATGTGATGTTTTCTGTGTTCAGTATTTCTTGGGAGGAAGAGGCTTTTTGCAGGGCTTGGCAACAACTTGCACATAAAAGTGTTCATCAACTTCAGAACCCAAGACCTCAAAACCCTTGAAGCCTTCCCACCTGCAAATAAATCATTTTCAGTCGACAACTGAACATTCATGTTTTTTCTTGGCTCGTATAGTGGCTCATGGTCAAGCGCTCAAACCCATTGACAAACGGAAAAGTCATAAACAAGAATGAGAACCAATCCCTGTTCATGAGAACATGGGACACTGACAAACCCAAAAAGATTTTGATTCCAACTTAGGAGTGAAAAATGAAAGTGCGTTTTTGTGCAAGTTTTGACTACAAAAGTTTTCTTGGTTGGCGAGACCCATTGAAACCAAGGACATGTCCTGAATATCAAAGCCTTGGACGAACCAAGAAGATGAAAATGTCTAGGACGTTGCAAGCGCATGGTTTCTTGGTTTTGACTGCAAGGGTTTTCATGGTCAGGCACTGAACGCCATTGCAAACCATGAAAGCCATGAACTTTGGTATAATTGTTTATTTTTTGTCTTGAAAAGCAAAGCTCTCTGGAAATGTAGGCTTATATATATATATAGATATATTCCATTTCATTTCCCTTCTTATTTCCTAAACTAAATATATATGTATATATACATATGTCCATTCCAAGCCGCTTACCAACTTTAGGTGCAAGTGTGTCACCCGGCGCCCACCACGTGGAGGTTCGCCCGCACAGCGACTAATCTTGCTGCATCCGGGCTGCTCTGGCGTAATGTAACCCATGGTCGCAAGCATGGCCTGAAACAGCTGCGCGACAGCCGGAGAGTGGGAGGTAGAGGCTCTAGAAAAGGCAATGGCAAAAGGTTCGAAGGACGCGAGCTACTACGGAGCCTGATTTCTACAGGGTTTGTGGAGAGGGCTGCGGGAATCGTTACACCCACAAGAATGGGCTACCAACAACGATGTTTCTTACAACATGTTAATCCATTCAATTTGAAACAGTGTTTCTCTGGGCGCAATGATTGATTGTTAAGCAACAACACCTTGACTGAGAATTTGGCTAAAACTCCGACATGCGAATGCGGTGACACTGCACAGGCAACAGAAACCATGAAGACTAATTGATTTGTAGAGGCTTGGGCTAAGTTGCATTGCAACACATTCGCTCGCTGGACACCCGTGATCATCCAAGTATCTCTGCGATCCTCCAACCCTAAAACCCACAACTTGGACTTATGAGGCCGACAAACCTTCACAAACGGTGCGTGCCCGAAACAACTGGACCTGTGAATCCGGCCAAGGGGCAATGCGTCCGTGCTTCAGCTCTGTCGCGCGGCGGCGCTTGAAGTTGTCGACGCTGCCATCAGCACCTTGACTGAAGGATGTGAGGGGGCCTTTGGATTTAGGGCCTCAGGATCGACGTTTGACACACCTGGTCCCTGTATGCTGGTAGACCTGAGGAACTGCTGAATTCTCAGCCCATGCTGAGGTTGACTAACGATTCCGCGCTTCGCTTTCCCACAAAGACAGAGTTGATGTTGCCAGGTCAGAGTTTTTAATAAGGTGCCTCAGACCTGCCTGAGCCTGGTAGTTCCTCAACACTGCTGCGCAGTGCTTGAACGTGAGGGCCCCCAACCCGCCAATTGGCCGGCTCCGTATTGTTGTTCTGGCCAGGCTTCTTTAAGCCACAATAGTCTTGTTTCAGCCTGACGAGGCCTATGCAGGACGTATTGGGATTGGTGGTCTTATTTGGCTAATGGCGTGGCATGGGGAGTGGCAGTTCCTAGTCCAATGACTGAAGCTCTCATACTTGGCAAAATGTGCTTGAAACTTGAATCCATAAACAGCCATCACCCCTAAACTCAAAGCCAAGCCCTGAACCTCGTGACCTGACTGCTGCAAGTGCCTGCCCCAAGTCAGCTCCAGACACTGCAAGGCGACCCCAGCCAAGGCCCCATGAGTTTAAACAAAGGTTGACACCACACCAGAAGTCAACCGCAAACAAAGGAAACACAAAGCCTACACTGCTTCCATGGGCATGCAGGAATACAAACAAACATACAAAACGCCGTGGAATAGAAAAAACACCAAAGAGCACCCACAGAATAACAGCAGTTGCCCAGGTTCCCCTGAATGTCACTCGAACAGACTGATGCCACAAAACATCCGTAAGTTTTAAACCGTGCACCCTAAACCCTAAACGGGCTACACAAGCGCCAGGAGCAATTGCATGAGTTACGGCCTCCTTTCTGCCCAAGACAGCACCACTGTGCACTGGAATGGCACCAATAGAAGAAAATGCAGCAAGATACGAGAAAAGTAGTACACCCTCATGGTAGACGAACACTGCCATCAGACCCTACTGTGCCCATGCTGTGTGCATGCTGCGTGCAAGCTGCATGATCATGCGCGTCAAAGCATCCCGCCACTTCAGAAGCAAGGCCTAGAAGGATCCCAAGAGACACTGACGGCGGACGAAAGAAAAGGGAACAATGACCACAGAAGACTACGCGACGAAAAGGAACGAGGGGGATACGACTCGACAGGACGACGCTTTTGCCAGCCCGTCCGGTCGGTGCGAGCACCCGGTGGTCTCCTGCGAGCAGGACCTCCGCCACGATGGGACCAGAAGCGGGAGGCAGATGGGGCGCGGTCTCCTGCGAGCAGGACCGCGATGCCCCGATCTCGCTGACATTGGAGGAGAGGTGAAAACAATCAGCACCAAATCTGAAAGAGGAACACGTAGGCGAGAAACCCATCTCCAGCACTGGGCTCGCACTCCACCTACGCTTGAATAGGCCATTATCGCACCAATATGCTTTGCGAATGAAGAGGGAACATAGTCCCTGAACTGAATGTCTTTGAAAATCCACACGTTGCTATCTGTTGTTAACTATAGTTCTTGAAAGCATCTCTCTGGCATACTCCACGGATACCTTGCATCACGGGCTGTCTGTGATTTTCGACAGGTACCTGTTAACCTCCCATACCCATACAAAGCAAAGTCGCTCAAACCAGCGGGGTCCCAGAAGCCAACAGGCGCCTTCCGTGTCATCGACACAAGGCAGAACCATGTGGCCATCTCAGAAACACGCTCTCACATGTGAGACGATGTCTAACTAGTAGCTTCCATTCTATTTTTCCATTCCCCTATATGACTCATATATAACCCTATCTAGTTACAATCCTATCTAATCCCTAAACTCAACACTCTCCTCAGTGCACGTTACTGGGGGTTAGCATAAGGGAATACAATCCCTATGTAAGAGTTTCCCTCCCCCAAAACCACCAGGAAGACAAGTGCAATAAAAACAGAACAGGCTTTAGAAGTTCATGAACGGGCTCCAAAACTCGTGACGGCCAAAGACACCTGAAATACCTGCTCTCCAAATACTACCCACTCATTCCATCAATGTTGAAATCCAAAGCTGCAATCAGGTTTGATGACCGTGTGGGATGATCCTGTGTGTTGCGCTGCAGGCCAGAGACTACAAACACTCGTGCATTGGAGTCGTCCTGCACGCCGAG